ACCAAATGTGATGAAATATTTGATTTATTAGTATTTAATGGTAAAACTATGGTCCCTCAGGGCTTGAAGAATCCCCCACTTGAACAAAAGAAGAAAAGGGGATTATGCAAATTTCATAATTTTCTTGGTCATAAAACTTCTCAATGTTTGCTTTTCAGGGATTTGGTGCAGAAAGCTTTAAAAGATGGCAAGCTTCAGTTTGGCGAAAAGCCAAAGATGCAAGTTAACACTGATCCTTTGAATGTGGATGAGGCTTTATAATCAGAACCTCTGGATTGCATGATGGTTAAAGCTATTGAGGGCCTCGACAGAGAAGTCATAATGATTGGTGACATAGAAGTCACGATGGTTGGAACAATGATAGTTTCAGCCTAAAGATGGAAGAGGGATTAGAGGCATTGTACCCTCATCCTAAAGAGAGCTTGGCTGACTTTCAAGAGAAATGTAGAGTGAAAGGGTCGAAGGCAAAATTATGCCTAAGATACAACACTGAGAAATATGAAGTTGTAAAGCCTCCAGTTTCAAGGTTTGTTTTCGACAAGGAAGGATCGCCTCGATGCAACGAGGAATACAGAATATTATTCCAGCAACCACGGCCAAAAATCTTCCGCCCTCCGTCGGACACCCCGCAAGAAAGATGGGTGGAACCAGTGAACCAATAGGGGGCAAAGGGCCAAAGTGGAAGGTAATCGTGAATAAAGCTGAGGCCCAAGAAAGGAAAGCTGAGTCAAAGGGTTATCAAGTTTCTCCTAATTATAAGGGGAAAATCCAATGACAAGGACACAGTGGAGGCGTTATCAGAGGAACAAAAAGGCTGCAAAGGAGGCTTCGACTTCCTAGTCGAAACCTGTCGAGAATACTAAGTGTGTCGAGAGCATGCAACCAGCATAAATTGAGAAGCATGGCGAAGTTCCAGTTTATAAATGATCTTATCCAAGGTCAAGGTTAATTTAAAAAATAAAAGGTAATTTATATTCATAGGTTGGCGATGAGGGTAACTCCTTTAAGTGACAATGAGCTGGTGGCAACACAGTGTTGGATATACTCATACACCTGAGTATACTCCTACATATGAAGGTGAATATGCGGAAGAACCTGATTATGAACCTTCTCCAGAACACGATATGGTAGATGATCATTATGATTATGGTGAATACCTCATCATTAATTATGGAATTGTGTCGATTCTTCCTGTAGAATATGACAGGCTCTTAGAGGTATCATAAAATGAAGAAGATTTTACCTCCGATGAAGCGACTAATGAAAAGCCTTTATGTTACAATGTGATTAACAATGGCGTGGTTGAAGAACAGAAGGATGTGTTTTAGAAACCAAGCCCAGAGATGAGGTATCATCTTAAACCTTTATTCATAAGGGCTAAGGTAGATGGCATGCCAGTGAATAAAGTGTTTGTCGATGGTGGGGAAACTACAAATCAAATGCCACATGATTTGTTTAAGAAAATGGGGAAGTGTGGGTCAGAGCGTCGACCTCACAACATGGTTCTATCAAACTATGAAGGAAAAAACTAGTAGTATATTGGGCATCATTCAAGTTAAATTTTCTGTCGTAACAACAGCCAGATCAACTCTGTTCATGGTCATAAATTCCAAAGCCAACTTCAATTTATTACTTGGTCATGAATGGATCTATGGAATTGGTGCAGTCCCTTCAATTATGCATCAAAGGATTTCCATTTGGAAGAAAGATGGCATAGTGGAAAACATAGAAGTTGATCAGAGCTACTATAAGGTTGACTAAAAGGTGGAAAGAAATCTTTCGACCAGCACTTGGCGAATGTAGAGCCCTGTGATGATGAAAATCACACTCCGAATGAAAACTCCAATAGTTTTCTGAACTTGGATCCTGATCATGGTTTTATATGGGAATATGAAGAGGCAGCAGTGCCTATGGAATCAATTCCACCTATGAGGTGGTTTATAGTCGAACTTGGTGACCAGTGAGTCAGAAAGTTTGGCTCTAATTTTGGCTTATGTGGCTGAAAACAAAAGGAAATTGGCTTTGGAAGCTGAGAAGCTACAAAACATGATTGTCAAAGCCAAAATAAAACCTATAAAAAGGCCAACATGGCCAAACAACAGCTTCAGAAAGTTAAAGGTTAGATTGTATATAAGATAATGAACCTTTGGGGTTTGAAACGGACCCACTGAATTCGATACAGAAGATGAAAGCCAAGGATCTGTTAGAGGATGTTGATATGGGAGATGGCATAACAAAGAGACCGACTTACATCCACACTAAAGTTTAGTCGAAAATGAAAGTCAAACTAATCAAGCTACTAAAATAGTACAGAGATTGCTTCGCCTGGGATTATGGTGAGATACCTAGGTTAAGTCGAAAGGTGGTGGAACATCGACTACCTATTCAGCCAGGTAAAAGGCCAGTAAAGCAGCATCCTAGGAGATTCACCCCCGAGATTACTTTGAAGATCAAACAGGAGATTGAAAGGCTGCTCAAAAGTAAGTTAGAACTGCAAGGTGAAACAACCGGCTAAAAATCATCAAACAATGAAGTCTCCATCGAACATCTTTTATCCCACATGAACGGAAAGGTAAACATCGAGTAAACCTGAGAAGAGTGAAATCACGACCAAACGACCAAGAGATCGGGTAAGGGAGTTTGTTACGCGAGGAAAAGGTATTAGCACCTCACACGCTCGTAGTACTCTACAGTATTCACTCTTGTTGTTCAAATCAAATGGTGTGTTTCAAATCTGTATCTAAGTTGTACGGGGAATACATGCAAAAGAAAAGAGAAAATAATATAGGGAAAATAAAGTTGTGCTCGTTCGGGCCCTACCCCAATGCCTATGTATCCCTTTTAAGAAATCAGAGCAGCCATAGTTCGGCTCAAAATTTTCTGTTGGTTTGTATTTTTTAATGAACAATATTAATTTCTCCTTCAGCCGCAACTCGACATTTGGAGACTCACGCGTTAGCACAGAAGTGAATTAGCATGTTATTTTGAAAAGATTTGAAAAAAAATAAAGGAGCCCGAAGGCGAAAAATAGTTTGCATTGGTTGATATTTTTTACCTTAAAGAAGGATTTGAAAATTGTTAGATGTTTTATGCTTTTTTCAAGAAAATGAGTTTTAGTCTTAATGCATGGATGCAAAAGAAAGAAAAAACATCTAAGGGGGACTAACCTAGACCTATCACTAATGTTATCATACAATGACTGACCCTAAGGTTGAGTTTTAAAAGTGGAATCTCTACCCTATGTTAGCATGCATGGATGCCTATCCTAATATCTAGCTCGAAAGCTACTCTAATCAAGCAATCCTAAGGCAACATGGCATAGCAAACAAATAAGAAAACAAGTGCTTTGGCAAAAGCACATAAACATGAGTAGCATATACTGACTCAAAGGGATGGGGGAAACAAGAGAAATGCTTTAGCTAAGGGGAGTATATCACCCAAAGCAAACAAGCGGGAGACAAATGTAAAACAAAAAATGTGACGTCCAAAGCGACTGAACACCTAACCATGACATAGAAGATCGAGGTAAGCAATAGAAGACAATATGAATGATCACGGAGTGTCAGCATCGGCCAATGCGAACTCCTAACTAAGCGTGGGGGTTTGATTGCAAAACCCTTCCCCACTTGACGGACTCGATACACAAGATCTGCATAACTCTGAAGCATCGAAGTACAACGTGAGCTAAAGATAACACATACTAGAATGTGTGGGGGTCGATTACGGACCCTCCCTGCTTTCCTCCTTTTGAGGACTTATCACATGTAATATAATGCGGGCACAAATGTAAACACACATGCAGAATACCTACTTTAAAGGTAGGGTTTTAAACAAACACAAATAGTATACAGAAAGTGGTGCTTGCTACAGGACTTTAAACAACAACTTCGAGCGCACGCTCTTTATTTCCTACTTCTCTTGATATCTAGAAAGTAGTAAAATTCTTGCTTCTCATGATATCTAGAAAGTGGTAAAACGCAGAAGTAGTAAAAAGGGAAGCAGTGTAATACCAAACGAACAAAAGTTCGTAACACCGCAAGCAAAAATATAAGAAACCCAAAGAACTTCGAGTGAGCTAGCATCGACAACAAGAGATTGATCAGAAATCGACAACGTCAAAATTAAATATATGCGCAACGCCTGCATCAAAAGCATTTGTATCACAAACAACACACCTGCACGAGAACTCATAATCCACACAAAAACACAAGCAATGTATATTTCTCATGTAATGAGAATCAAGATAAATCATGTTGGAAGCGAATCCAAAATCCACAAATAAAGTGGAATGCAAATTTTTTTCAATCGAAATAAACGATCGAAAGTTCTTCTAGAAATTCCTTGCACATGTCAACAAATGAGTTATAAATAACAAGGAAATGATAATCGAAATTAAGCATCTATATTACAACTTAATTTCTAAAGTCAATTAAAAATCTAACAAGCTTTTATTGATGTCGTAAATTTTTATTATAAACAAAAATATTGGCAAAGGAAAAACACTAACTCTAACATTTTCTATTGTTTTGATTACATAAACTATTCCTTATTAACAAAAATTATGAAAAAAAGAAATTAACTAATATCTAATAATAATAATCAAAAAAGTCAGGGGTTTAACTGGATTCAGGGATGTTTGGATCAGAAATCTAGCGCCTGGCCCCAGAAGAAAGGTCCAAGAAGCAATTTTTGTGACAATGTTTCAGGCTTCCAAAAGATGGCAGTGGGCTTAGCAAAATAAAGTCTCAGACCATGGAAGACTCATTCAAAGTCAACAACTCATCTCCAGTCAACATTAATTGTGATTGTTCAGTTCTCTCTGAGACGAGCCACCCCTTCTCTACACTCATCCATCCTCTTCGCGTTCTATCAGCGTCGTATATCCACCGTCAAAGGAGGATCAACCCTCCCTAAGCTTTTTCTTTCAATTCCACCGGTATCAACCTAAACCTACAAGTAATTCCGGAAACCCTAGATTGCTTAGCATCCAAATTGAAATGTTAACGGTGGTGAATTCGGCTACGAGACCTTGGGAGAAACACTCGCAGAAGCCCGTTCAAAATCCTACCATTAAAAGGAATTGAGCACAACAATGGCGATAATGGAAGATATGAAGCTTCCCAGTCGGAGACACTTCGACGATGTTTCGTAGTTCCTGATAATGAGACAGAATTCCAAAGACTCTTCCGAAAATAATTCAGGTATGTCATTTAACACTTCCGTGATTGCTTCTTCCTTGATTTTCCGCTTCTCTGTGTTTCTATGCCTAAGTTTCGCGAATCGTTATTGTTTGTGTTACAGAAATATGATGATGATGAATAATGTGATGCAAATCGAAATTGCTGAAATAGTAAAGTTATTGTTGTGAGGAGATGATGAAGGTGTGCTAAAGATGTTGAGGATTTTAATTGAAGAAGTAGGAGTTATAGATGATAATTGAAGGTGATGATGAAACTCGGCTGCAGAGGGAGAAAGGGCTTGAGTTTTTCTAGTATTTTGGTGATGGAGAAAGAAGATAAAGAGAGGAAGAAGAGAGGATTTTTTTTATTCTTCTTTGTTGATTCTCCAGAGATTGAAGAATGATTATCAAAGGTGAGTTTTTATGTTATATAATTCTGTAAGAATTTGAAAGTTAGTTACATGAGTTATTGATTTGAGCCATAGGTTAAGAAGTTTGTTAGGGACTCCAATGGTTAGGATTGACCTGTTAGTTCTAACTGAGATAGTTAGAAGGGTAGTTATAGTTTGGAATTCTATTTTGATTCAGTTAGTTATTATTTCTGATTTTCCTGATTTTTCTTCTGGTTTGATTATTTCTGGTATATTGAAATGCTACTGACCACTAGTGGAAGAGCCACAATGCAATATGACAAAGACAGTTTTCCTTCAAAAATGAAATATGGAAATGCTGTAACGAGTAAAGTTGAGACAATGACAAGTCCCTTTCGAACACGGCCAGCATGGCTTCCAACAATTGACATTTTTATAGTCATTAGGTATTATGAGTGTTTCTTAACCTGAGAAGCCCATTAACACAGGGTAGAAACTAGTTCAGATAACACTAAAGCAATTTAGTACAAGAACTATTCCATTGAATAAAACTCGATCAGCATTAGCACTAGTAGAACCTTTGTTAGAGCCTTCACCAACACTTAGTAAAACTGATGCAGCTAATAGCAAGAACAAGGCTCCAATTTGTTGAATTGTTTGTTTTTACCTCAATATGTTGTGAATAATATGTTGTCTGATTTTTGTTACTGCAGGTTGCGGGTCTGTGTTGGATTTTTAACTAGTTCTGTTAAATTGAATAAGCAGGGTTATAACATGGTTTGTATGGTTTGATCCAACGGTCCATGGTGCAAAGCTGAAACTAGCATGGCATAGCAAGGTGCACCGAATTTGGAAACATGAAGTTTGACACGAAGCTCGTAGAATTAGGACATTCATTAACTTGTAACATTTTTATAGTTTCCTTTGAAATTCCACATAGGTGATATGATTGGGTTTTGGATGTAATTGAATTTTGGTTTATGGCCTTTGATTTTGCAATGTTGATACATGATATCTCGTACTTGTTTAAAAATTTTGGATATAAATGGAAGTTGCTTGAGAATTGTGATTAGAATTGAATAAAACATCCCAAATAAATCATGAATAAGCTTGAATCCAAGAATTTGAATGAAACTTGGAGTTTTGTAATATTAATCCACTTGCCAAACTTGAACCAGAATGAACACTTGAATGGAATCAGACCGAACGAAAATGTCTTGCCCTTTGAATCTTGTTTCTTGCATTTGAAATAAACCATGAGTTATTTCTTGCGCTTTAAGAAATTTTGACGCTCTTGATAAATCCTCAACCCCTAACTTCAATTATCCATAATCAAATTATCTTGCTATTCGGTCCACCAATCATATTAACTTGAAAACCAATGAACTCACAACAAAATTAATGTCCTTGAGGAACCCAAGACTTTACGTATAGAACACCATAATAAAACTCTAACCCACACTTCACTACTTGAAGAAGTAACCAAAAGAATCAGAAGAAATGAGCTTTTAATGGACGCGAACACCTTAACCTCAATCAATAAAACACCAATTTTAACTGGTTCTCCAAGCAAGTTAAGTGAATTATCCTTGAATCGTATTAAAAACTTCTATTCCATGTTCATCTTAAATCAATCCTCATATGCAACTCAAGCATTCAAGACAAGTTTAATCTCGGGTAACTTCAAATGGCATGCTTGATCAATGAATCCATAGACTCAAAATTGAGTCTCAACTCCCGAATGCTTAATATCCTAAGCCCAAAGTTAACCAGAAAAGTAACTTTGAAACATGATACACAGATCTCTAATTGATGGAGTGAGATATAAACAAATCTAAACTCTATTCTCTTGTATCAAAACCATGTTTTATGCCTTGTAATCCAAGTAACCAATCAAATTGACCCTTGGATGATAGTAAGCCACGTGAATTGGGAGACAGAACCTAGTTTCAATGATAAGCATAAGCACAACAATGAAGCTTCTTACTCCATGATTCACAAGAACCACATACATGATGTACATCTCTTTGAAAGAAATCCAATTGAATGACTTGAACCCTATCAATGGAGCCACATATCATATCATGCACAAAACCATGTGTTTGGGAAGATGAGGACCTAATTCACAATTCACCACTTGAGGAACGAACTAAGGAACTCAAAAATTATTGAACATTTATATCTCAATCCATTATAAAAACCCTAGCTTGTACGCCTACCAAACTTCTGAACCTCTGGCGCTTTATTCAATGAAAATACATGCTATGTTAGTGAAGATGACCTACTGAAAAGATGTGAATGCAAAAGCCTAAGACGGATAACGGGAAAATTAGGAGGGAAAATTTTGGGGTGCAACAACTGCCCCTATTTAATCTCCTTCAACCTGAAGGTGAGATTGGCGCTAGCATCTTGAACTTTCTGTTAGAACATAGTTTGATTCTACAACACTTAGTTAGAGCTTTGATGATAACAAATACAAAGAACAAATATGCATCCTAAAAAATATGTTATTTTGTATGCAGAAGTTCTAACCAAAGCAGCATCAGAAGATAAGCTATAGAAGCTACACGCTGAAGCAATCAGAATTTGCGCTGAAGGCTACACGCTGAAGCAATCAAAATTTGCGCTGAAGATTGATGACCAGAACCTGCGCTTAAGTGAAGTAAACTCTGATTCTGAACAAGAACATAATAATCCAAGTCATTAATATGCTGAAGCATCAGTAGCAAGCAAGGATGAAAGATTCTGAAGCGTTATTATTCATTCAAGACTGCTTAAGTTTTCAAGAAACCTATTTAAACTCAAAATTACTTTTTACATTCATTCACTTTTACTCTCAATATTTTCTCTCGTTTCAAGTTCTTGCTTTCAAAAACCCTTTTCCTCTTCCTCAAAATCCCGTGTGAACAATGGCTTCATCAAGTCTCAAAAATGTCAGTGCTCATGAATCTGCTTCAACGGAACAGTATGAAGAACCCCATAGAACGCTCCTCACACCTATTGATAATCTGGAAGTTATCTCTGAACTGATTATTAATTTTGAAAGCTTGCAAGAAAATGGCTTCAACCTGTATGAAGACGTTACAGCACAAGGATGGAACATGTACTTTGACCGTCTATTGGGACCAACTTTTCCCATTCTTATCAAAGAATTCTGGATACATGCTTCTTCTTCAAATCACCAGGTTACTTCTTATGTCATGGGGAATAAAATTGTGATTACATAAGACCTTATTGCGAAGCTTCTTGGATACAACGGTGGTGGTGTCAGATGCATTGACATGGCTGAGAGATGCTCTAACCTAAGATCAATTGCAAAAGAAATTTTTACTTATGGACAGCCCTCCGGTAAAATCAGATATTTGAAGGATCATCACAGAATCTGGGCCAGAATCATTCTGGGATGCATCCACCACAGGAAGCCTACAAGCTCTCCTGACTATATCAATATTGATTAGCAATTTCTGATCTATTTCATTTCTAAGAAAACAAAGGTAAATCTTCAACACTTGCTCTTCAACCATCTCAGAATAAGTGTGAAGGAAACCAGAGAAGACGAAAGGACCAAGAGGGATTGGATTCCCTTAGGAAGGCTGACATCAGATATTCTAACAGAGAATAGGCTGATCGAACATCTGACGGAGGCTCAGGAAATCAGCACTTTGGAAGCAACTGCTAGGAAGCCCTTGAACGCTAAAAATCTGAAGAAAATGAAGATCATTAATAATATCAAGAAGGAACCAACTGTTACCCCTCATGAGACCATTACTTCAAAAAGGATACCTCTAAGGGATTTTCCTTTATTTTCTGAGATAGACTCCAAACCAGAAATAATAGTCAGATACCTTGAAGCGTGCAAGGTTGATGGAACTGCTCCAAAAATCAACATTCAGGATTTGCACAAGGCTCTCCAGAGGTTGTTCTGAAGAAATCAAAGAAGAGGAAAGCAGCAGGAGAATGACCCTCTCAGAGGACACCTAAAGCTGTCAAAAAGAAAGGTAATCCATCCTCTATTTCTGTTATAGAATCAATAACTATTTCAACATCTGAAGCCATGCCTTCACAACCAGAAAATTCATCACCCCAAACCCTTGAAGATTTTGACATAGATTTTGATCCATCCATAACTCTAGGTAATTTTATGAATGAACCTAACTCCCCTACTCAAAATCAAAATCCATAACATCATCAACCAGAACTTGCCAAAGTTCTGTCTGACATTGAATTATTTGACCAAGATTTTTCCTCTCCCATACCAGAAAATCCAAACTCTCAACAACAACCAGAAATCCCACAATCTCCTCAACCAGAAACTCCACATCCACAATCACCTCAACAAGAAATTCCACAACCAGAAAATACTCAACCACAATCTCCTCAACCAAAAGATCTAAACCCCAACACACCATAACCAGAAACTCAACCTTCTGAAAATCCATCTTCTGATATTCCTGAATCAGAAATCCAACATGCTGCCACAAACCAATCAGAAGACTCTCATTCAGACTCTGATACCACAATCCCAATACCTGGAATTACTGAACCTCTCGCGGTTCAGATGCCTCTCACTATTCACGACATTCCAGAAATCCCTTCATCCCTTGAATCCACACCACCAAACACCCCTACCAGACCAATTATCATTCCTGGCTCTCCCACTCCTTCACCCACTAACAGTCCAGCTGATAACGTAAGACTTGTCATTGATCCAATTGTGCTGGAAAGACTAGCTTCCATCTCTCACAAAACTACCATTCCCAAACCTAAACCAACTGCAACCACCTCAGATGTTGGTACAAGTTTGTTGTTTTTTGAAACAGGAATGTAGGAATGGATAAATTCTTTGAAGCATGCAAGTCAGGAGATGTCTAATCCTGATGCTTATGATTATATGTGGGCAAGATTCAGAAATTGGCTTAGCTCTGAAATGCTGAAGTTGAAGGAATTGTGTTATGAAAAGGTTCAGCAGAACTTTAGTGATAAGCTGAAGGCTTTTCAAGACCAAGTTTTGAGCCAACTGTTCAAGAAAGATATCCTCTCACTGGATAATGCTCCCTGGAAAGAGCATCATCCTTCAGATGTAGCTGAACCAGAATCAGAAAGTCTCTCTCTGACTGCTGCTCCAGAAAATATGATTACAGTAGAAGAAATGGTTCACTCAGAAGAAGCTGCAGAATGCTCTGAGAAACATCCAACTCCTGAAGAGACACCGACTTCCTCCTTAAGGGAAGTAATCAACTCAGGGGGAGTTTATCTTAAACCCTTTGTTCTATATTTTTAATTGAAAATTCTAGTTTTTGTCATCATCAAAAAGGGGGAGATTGTTAGAACATAGTTTGATGTTACAACCCTTAGTTAGAGTTTTGATGATAACAAATACAAAGAAAAAATATGCACCCTAAAAATTATGTTATTTTGTATGCAGAAGTTCTGATCAAAGCAGCATCAAAAGATAAGCTATAGAAGCTACA